CTTGATTTTTTTTTTTTTGGCAGCTGGCTGGTATGGGGATCCGAATTCTTGACCTTGGTGTCTGGCTGGTATGGGGATCCGAATTCTTGACCTTGGTGTCACTGCACTCCAACCAGCAGAGCTAACCAGCCAGCCCCTTGATGTTTTTGACGTACCTTTTCTCTTTCTTTCCCTCCGGCATTGTACTGCAGGGGCTCCTGATCATCCCCTTGATCTTCCCTCTCTCTTCCTAATTTTAGTTTTGTGTTTTTAATTATTTTAACATTTTCTTCCATTGTTTCTACTTTGCCTGTATATACCCATTACTAATAATTTAATGAATCAATAAAGTCCCATTGTCAAAATAAGTTCATACTGCTTAAAGCTGCCTCCTCTGACCCTCTGCACTGATGTTGCTTTTGGTTGTAAAGTAGAAGTTAGAAGTTAAATCTAATTTAAGACTTTGATTCCCAAGATTCGTATCCCATGCCTTATCTTTTGCAGAGATTTGGTTCACAGCAAGAATAATTGAAGTAATTTGCTTTAAGTCATGGTATGCTGGGAGCATAGACAAATCTCTGCTTTTGGGATCTCAGACTTGCCTTCTCCCACTGTTTGGACAGTGGTTGATGAAATGGAGCTGAGATTACACTCTACGCTGTTTTTTTTTTTTTTTTTTCCTTGCTTAGAAAATAACAACGTTTAAAAGCTGAATTTTTAGGAAAACCATCTGTATTTTCCATTGCTTGAGAAAAAAAAATATATGTTGGCAATTGATAGCTGAAGATATCTGACATCCTGATAAGTGTTGTGATATTTTACTTATGCTGGGCCTCGAAGGAAAAACAGAGTCTTGTGAATTTAAATGTTGCCCAGATTTATTACATACATTTATTAATTTACTTTCAGCCCTAGTCAAAAGACTTTAGGAATGATTTTTGTGGTCTTATAATGAGGTGTTGGTCAGGTTCCTTGTCTTGCAATACACAGAGATCAGGAGCTATTGTGACTGCTTAGATTGTATGTATCAGGTTGGCTGTTTGGAGAACTCTCATTTAATCCTTACCCAAGGAGGAGCATGTTTATGAACTTTAGTGAGTTTGTGTCAGGACTCTAACTCAAGTCTGTNAAATGGAGCTGAGATTACACTCTACGCTGTTTTTTTTTTTTTTTTTTTCCTTGCTTAGAAAATAACAACGTTTAAAAGCTGAATTCTTAGGAAAACCATCCGTATTTTCCATTGCTTGAGAAAAAAAAATATATGTTGGCAATTGATAGCTGGAGATATCTGACATCCTGATAAGTGTTGTGATATTTTACTTATGCTGGGCCTCGAAGGAAAAACAGAGTCTTGTGAATTTAAATGTTGCCCAGATTTATTACATACATTTATTAATTTACTTTCAGCCCTAGTCAAAAGACTTTAGGAATGATTTTTGTGGTCTTATAATGAGGTGTTGGTCAGGTTCCTTGTCTTGCAATACACAGAGATCAGGAACTATTGTGACTGCTTAGATTGTATGTATCAGGTTGGCTGTTTGGAGAACTCTCATTTAATCCTTACTCAAGGAGGAGCATGTTTATGAACTTTAGTGAGTTTGTGTCAGGACTCTAACTCAAGTCTGTTTCCAAAGCCTGTTCTTTCCACTAATCTGACTGTGTGTGTGAGTAAATGCACACTATGTGCTTATGTTGGCTGTTTCACTGTGAGGTGTGCGTAGTTTTAATGTTGCACAGACACTTGTAAATGCGATTTCTTTTGTGTATTGGGACCTTTTTGGGATATCATGCGATTTGAACTAATTGCAGCATGAGTAAAATAGCCAAAGTTCACAGGGTTGGCATCAAGACTGAGACTGAAGCAATAGCAAGTGATATTTAAACTCTTGCTAAAGCTCAGAGGCACAGAGACATGAATTCTAATCACAGGTGTGACTCTGAAGGTTACAGTGTGGGCTGGCTTGTGCTACTTCCACACCCATTAAAAACAAATTATTTTCAAATTGGAAATAGCATTCTAATCCCTCCAGCTATAAAAATAAAAATACACATTGTAGGAAATTTGTAAAATACTTAGAAAAATGTTGATAGACATCACCAATAAACTTACCTCTAAAGGTGTTCACTGTTAATTCCTTAACTCTTTCAATGCATATTTATACATATACATACACATAAACTTCATAAAATAGGATCATGATCTGTATTTTGATCTATAACCTTTTTTTTAACCTAATGTTCTTGCCATGGCAATATATGTAAATCTACTCAGTCTTTTTTTTTTTTTTTAATTTTACTTTTCAGATCATCATAGATTCACATGCAATAGACTTTTTTTTTAAATTTTAGTTTTGAGATCATTGTAGATTCACATGCGGTAGATTTCTGTGTACTCGGTTCTCTCAGAGGTAACGTCTTGTATTGCTATGATATCACAACCAGGACATTGACATTGG